TAACAAACACATGCTGTTATTGCAGTGGCCATGTTTGTCATAAGGCCGCTACACACTCACAGCCGGAACGGCCTGTGTCGTTGCTTACATAACGACGTTCACAAATGCGAGCTCAACCCATTCACCATTGGTGACACGCTCGAGCGCGACACTTCCGGCACCAGTCACGCGCCACGAGTTACGACCGCGTGACAGCGCGTGTCATGCAACACTGGACCTTCCCCAACGTGTTCCGCACTCGGGTAGGGGCGTGGAAGGCACAAACAGAATGAAAGATGGGGCAACAGCTACTGTTTTCGATTAAAGTGGGAAGATTCGTTCCTACTTAGGCGGTGCCTTTAAACGGAACGTCATACGATTAAGTGCATATAAATCTACCAGAGCCTTTCCTGAAAACAAAGCGCAGAATTCCAATAACACACTCAGTTTGGTCTCAATTGCAGTTCGCCCGTAATTCACTTAAGACGTATGCACTGCACGCGTAATGCTGCGGTTTTCGTACCGGGAAGACAAATGAATGCAAAGCATTCATTAAATTGTGTCCGTCAGATTTACTCCTCAGAGCGCAGCCATGATTACGCTACATACAAGAGAGGTACATGCAACGGAACACTGCATAAGGCACAGGAACATGCAACGAAATGATGCAGACATCCCGCCGGTTGCCTAGACCCCTTGTAGCACCCGCGCGCAGTCGCTTGCGAAGCGGCAACCCCGTACCCTGCCTCCATGTGCATACACACAGCCGAAGGCGCCGACGCCGCAGCTACTCACCAGCGCAGCAGCGATCCCCGCTCCATCGGCCGCCAGCAGCACCGTACCCAAGCTCGGCTCACGGTGGAGCGACACCGGCGCTGCACCCGCACCCGCGACCGGTGCGCGCCGCCCGACGGCCCGCGGTCCACTGACGGGCCGCGCCGCCCGCCGCCCGCTGCCCGCTTACCGGGAGGAGAGCGCGTGCCACGCGGAGGCGCTGCCGGGGAGGTGGTCACGGGGAGGGCTGCCGGGGAGGTGGTCACGGGGAGGGCTGCCGGGGAGGTGGTCACGGGGAGGGCTGCCGGGGAGGTGGTCACGGGGAGGGCTGCCGGGGAGGTGGTCACGGGGAGGGCCGCCGGGGAGGTGGTCACGGGGAGGCGCTCCGGGGAGGTGGTCACGGGGAGGGCTGCCGGGGAGGTGGTCACGGGGAGGGCTGCCGGGGAGGTGGTCACGGGGAGGCGCTCCGGGGAGGTGGTCACGGGGAGGGCTGCCGGGGAGGTGGTCACGGGGAGGGCTCCCGGGGAGGTGGTCACGGGGAGGGCTGCCGGGGAGGTGGTCACGGGGAGGGCTGCCGGGGAGGTGGTCACGGGGAGGGCTGCCGGGGAGGTACGTGGTGGACTCACGCCGTTATAGGTGTGGGGGCGATGGGCCACCATACAACATGCATGAGTGATTCGGGTGACATTCCCAGGAAGGGGATGGGAGAGTTGCGAGGGTTTGGAAGACGTGGTGAGTCGCGCCTGTGCACTACGTGGTTAGCTAGGACAGTTTCCTGTAGGAAAGGGTCAAGGTAAGCGTGTCGCAAAGGTACATTTAGCGTTGGTCGGTTCTCTGGAAATGTGGCTTCCACGGTGGGCAGACTGGATGCCAGTCCGTCACAGGCTTCCCACGTCTATCCGTCGTTACACCCATCTTAATAAAGGGTAGATATATATGAATTGTCTAAAGCAATCTTCAAGGTGAAGATTTCCTTTACCTGGTTTATTCGTCACCCATACGGCTGTGCTCATACCCACACACTACCCATTCGGACTACATTGCTCTTACCCGTTACCCACCCGGTTGCGTTTTTCAGAACTTTCGTTTCAAATGGTGGACAAGTTTCTGGAAAGAAAAAAAGAAGAAAGAAAGGAAAGGAAAGAGGAGGGAGGGGGGAGGCAGGTGCGCAAGGTTGACAAAGGGCCCACCATTGGGAGGAAGGGAGCCACACCAACCCTCAACTTCACACTATCCCATCGCTAAAAAAGCCTAATATGGCCTGCTAGACTTCGATGAGGCACGAATTTCTTCGCGTTTTTTTTTCGTTATTTGTATCTTTGGTACGGGAACAGAAGCCAGAACCTACCAGAAGATGCCATTCCGTTCCAATCCTGAAGTTAATAAACTGAGATGGCTCAGTGGACTGCTTTAAACTGATAAAGCTCAGAGGCTTTGGCAGAGTTTCCGGGTTCTACAGAAATACACAGGGTAACATGAACGTGAATTGCAGATCAACACATGATCACAAATTTGCATCAACATAGCCCACCCACATTCGTCTTGGAATGTTCAACTCTCGGTCATACTCCATTATCGATACAAATTAGGTGGCATAATTTTTAACATGTTACTTGCCACTCACAAGCCTTGTAAACACACCCCCAGCCTCCGGCGTTGCAGTCTCCGCAGGCCACGTGATGTCTGCTTCGTGGTTAATAATAATAGGCGGCGGCTAACGGGCGGCGGAAGAAAATTAATATATATCTAACATATATAACACGTATAGCACATAACATAATATCTAGCATATGAATATCTAACACGCGAAATGGCACTGGAATCTGGTGGTGAAAATGGAAGAGTAAGGGTAGAATCTTCATTGTCGTGTTCCTGTAACTGTTCAGGTGTTTGCACAGGATATCCTCAATATTATAGGGGGGTATTATGCGCGCTAGTCAAATCTTGATTTTGAAAGATTTTCGAATGCATCATTTTAAGCCGGCCGTTCTGGCTCGTCCGGCGCCCGCCTGGTATTATCTGCAGCGACTGCCGCCGCTCGGTTTTACGGAAGCTTCAACCCCGGCCACAGCTGTCTTTGCTGCTAAGATTGCGAGCTGTCGGCAATCTACATTACAGCACACAAAAAACTGTAAGAGTGCGGGCAGGCTTAAAACCGTTTTAAGCAACTATGTCGCAAGCAGATTGTGCACAAGGATGGACGTTCTCTGGCAAGCACGGATTGGCCTGGCCAACGTGTTATTCTTACTTTATTCCGACTTACTCCATTGGGAAACCCTTACCTTTTCCGCAGGAAGGGGGCCGTGGGTAGAACACAATGGGGTATACTGTCGTCCCAGTCAAAGGGCTGAAGGGTCATTTCGTCCCAGCGCGGAGTGCCCGCTGACTTCCATTCTAGACGCAGGGGGATACAGAAACTACAGTTTGTCCCATTGGCTGAACTGGGATGGAAGGCGCCCTGTTAAACATTGGCGCCCTGAGTGACTCAAGGCCCTTCCATTGGCTGAACTGGGATGGAAGGCGCCCTGTTAAACATTGGCGCCCTGAGTGACACAGGGCCCTTCCGTGGTTTCATTGTGGATTATCATAATGAGTTATCATATATCCTTCCTTTTTCAGAGGGCCCCGATGAACGCAAGAGGCCCTCTAGCATTCGGGCCTTTCAGCATTTTAGTCTGGCCTTTGATCATTGGTCACGGAAGGACCTTCGGCGACGTTTTAGGCCCCCGTGGATCCCCCTGGAAAACGGCCCCTGGCCGACTCGGCGTCACTTGCAGACACAGAACCCCTGCCAAGCAATGTCAGCCCCTAACCGACACGGGTACCCCATTGCTTCAGGTACCCCGAACAGTGCATTTCACGGGCTCCGGCCCTGTTACTGCGAAAGAAATGGGTTCCGGTACTCAGACCGGTACAGAGCCAGCTGTTTGGTGTTGGTAATGCCTTACCAAAAAAGGCCCACATCGACTCGGATGGCCCCCAATCGACGCAAAGAGCCTTCAGACTGGCATTTGAGGCTCCGGCCCTGCGTGACAGGGCATCCTAATATGGTCTCCGGCCAGCCCTTCGGACCCTCAAATCGGGCCCTTAATCGACGGTCTCGAGGTCCTTTCGGACCCCGAGGGAACTAAGAAGGGGGGGGGGGGCGGCACTTGCCCCCTGTGCCCCCCGCCTATGCCACTGCATACTTGTACTCGTAATTTTCCACAAATCTGCAATCATTCCAACCCGTTACCGCTTGCGTATGTCGGTACACGTAGGTTTAAATCCTCGGCGTCATCTGGTCATCGGTTTGCACGTCCCATGTATTTCAAGATCTAATGCGATAATCTTTTTGATTGAATGGATTTTAAGGTCAGCGTAAAAGTCATGTAGTGTTTGCTGTCCTCGCCCAGGCCCCACTATCCTGCCATGCAATTCCGGGTCAGCGACAGAATTTTGTAGCGAAAGCTTAACGTGCGGCGATGCCCGGCACGGTTCGTCCTACTCTCTAGCTTCACCTGGTCTTTAGCGCGGCCGCTGCCGCCGACCGCAGACCATTTGAGCTAAGGGCAAATGACGGACGCTAAAGTGACTGGAACCCACACGGCTACGAGTGTGAGAATCAGGAAAGAGACGTGAGCTATCTAGACGGACGGAGTTAACACGGGTATAAGCGAGCCGGCGAGCCGAAACCTTTGATCGGGGTTTGTTATCTCACGGCCGACTGATGGAATGTACCAAAACGGGGTTTTGTCATCAGCCAAACTGTTTTAGTGCATCGGCTTCGTAGCTCCATTTTGCATTAGGTGCCTGTCACGTCTGCGAAACCTAATTCACCCGAGCAAATGCAGTGCGGTATGATATGCAGGTTATGATATAATATGCGGTATAATATCTGGAGCGGCGTTGTTTTAAGCACTTTTTAGCGAGTAAAAGTGCAATGCTAAAAGTGCGTAAAGGCAGCACTAAAAAGTGCTTAAAATAGCACCGCTCCAGATATTTGATGACGGTCAAACTAAGCGGCTCAGCTTTCCCCTCGGACACATGTTTGTGGAAATCCAAGACAAAACTTATAGTGCTGCCATCTTATATCAAATTTTACAACTAGTAATCCACACATTTGCCGTACGAAGTCTTGTTTTGTGGATGATAAGAGATGCCAGTTTTACTTCTCACCACTTTTACTTAGCTGTCTGCGTACTGATAGCTTGCCATGAGTTCACTGATGCTGCTTTTACCCATTTGTGAACCTTTAAGATTCCAAATCTGGATCATATTTATTTGATATGGTGAGGTCATTTACAGAAATAAGTAGGTTTTGATTAACTGCTCTGCTATAACATTCCACCGCTAGACGACTCTGCACTCTGCTCATTACAGACGAGAGGGCAGCACTATCGTCCCCGGTTTGCCGCGTCACATGGCAAAGACCCGAGCGGCGAACACCGACGATGACAGCAGAGCAGAGATTATACCTGCGCACGAGAATGACTGCCCAAGTGTAATGGTAACAACATGGTCTTGACGTTATTGTATGAACACAGAGCGAGATGGGGCCGATTTGACACGCCAAAGCGATTCCAGTTGCTCAGGCTCAGCTATTTGCATTCCAGCAGCCGTCTCTTTGGAAACGTCTGAATGCAGCAGAATAGCAATTTTCACACCAAACCCACTTAAACTTCCGAGGCACAACATTGACCTACACTATCACACCAAACACGACTAGGCGGCAGGTATCAAACACGGACGTTCCGACTGCTCGTTGGCTTGTACCGGCGGGTCACCACGTTGAACGTGAATGAGCCCACAGCCGCAATGCGCAGCACAGCTGATCTGGGCTTGCGGGTGACAAACAGCACTGTAGCCGTCCGAAGGCCGAAGGCCTGCACTTATACACTTTCCAGTCGACCTGCGACCGTCACTCGCTTCTGAACCCCCTGTCAGCGTCCGCACGGAGCCCACACCGCAGGACGCAAGCCAAAGAATGGGCACGGCGACCGAAATCAACTTATTAGGAAAGCCACTTCCCTTCCCCACCTCTCGCTCCACCACCATCCACTTGCGCCCGCTCCCCCTCCGTCGCACGGGCTGCGCACGCCCTTGCCGCTCGCCTGCATCCCGACCGCGCCGCCTAGGCCCGCCCGTGCGCTGCCCGCACGCCCGCTTATCGCAGTTCGGCGATGTGCACGCTGGCACCAAACACTCGCTGCAGCTCCGCCTCATAGTGCTGCATCTCGCGCTTCATCACGTCCATGCAGGGACCGAGCAGGCGCTCGAACGCCTCGCGGTCGAGGAAAGCCAGCCGCACCGGGCCGTCGGCGTAGGCGGACGCCGCGCGCGGGTTCTTGGTGATGAGCGCCAGCTCGCCCAGGTAGCCGCCCTTCTCGATGGTGTTGATC